TCTGTCGGTCTCTGTGATTCTCTGCGTGAGTCTGTGAGTCTCTGAGTCTGTGGGTCATTGTGAATCTCTGCGTGAGTCTGAGGGTCACTGTGAATCTCTGCGTGAGTCTGTGGGTCTCTGCGTGAGTCTGTGGGTCTCTGTGAGTCTGTGGGTCACTGTGAATCTCTGCGTGAGTCTGTGGGTCTCTGTGAGTCTGTGGATCTCTGTGAGTCTGTGGGTCTCTGCGTGAGTCTCTGGGTCTCTGTGAGTCTGTGGGTCTCTGCGTGAGTCTATGGGTCTCTGTGAGTCTGTGGATCACTGTGAATCTCTGCGTGAGTCTGTGAATCTCTGTGGGTCTCTGTGAGTCTGTGGGTCACTGTGAATCTGTGGGTCTCTGTGAGTCTGTGGGTCTCTGCGTGAGTCTGTGGGTCACTGTGAATTTCTGCGCGAGTCTGTGCGTCTCTGCGTGAGTCTGTGGGTCACTGTGCATCTCTGCGTGAGTCTGTGGGTCTCTGTGAGACTGTGGGTCTCTGTGAGTCTGTGGGTCTCTGTGAGTCTGTGGATCTCTGTGAGTCCGTGGATCTCTGCGAGTCTGTGGGCTCTCTGAATCTCTGCGTGAGTCTGTGGGTCTCTGTGAGTCTGTGGGTCTCTGTGAGTCTGTGGATCTCTGTGAGTCTGTGGGTCTCTGTGAGTCTGTGGATCACTGTGAATCTCTGCGTGAGTCTGTGGGTGTCTGTGGGTCTCTGTGAGTCTGTGAATCTCTGTGAGTCTGTGGGTCTCTGCGTGAGTCTGTGGGTCTCTGTGAGTCTGTGGATCACTGTGAATCTCTGCGTGAGTCTGTGTGTCTCTGCGTGAGTCTGTGGGTCACTGTGAATCTCTGCGTGAGTCTGTGGGTCTCTGCGTGAGTCTGTGGGTCTCTGTGAGTCTGTGGATCTCTGTGAGTCTGTGGGTCTCTGCGTGAGTCTGTGGGTCTCTGTGAGTCTGTGGGTCTCTGCGTGAGTCTATGGGTCTCTGTGAGTCTGTGAATCTCTGCGTGAGTCTGTGAATCTCTGCGTGAGTCTGTGGGTTTCTGTGAGTCTGTGCGTCTCTGTGAATCTCAGCGTGAGTCTGTAGGTCTCTGTGGATCACTGTGAATCTCTGCGTGAGTCTGTGGGTCTCTGTGAATCTCTGCGTGAGTCTGTGAGTCTGTGGGTCACTGTGAATCTCTGCGTGAGTCTGTGGGTCTTTGTGAGTCTGTGCGCGAAAGGGAGAGATTATGATTACGCAACTGACAGCAACCGGGACTTCCAATGTCCCCGGGGAGACCTGGCAGATCTCCCCGGGAAGGCAGCTGCCTTCTCACCAAGTGGACGATCCAGCGGGAAACCAGGGACAGGTGGCAACCCCGTTATGATGAGGGGGTGGCGGTGGTTTATTTGACAGCGGGCCCCATCGCATTCCTGGCGCTAGGGCCCATGCCAACCGCGCTGCATCGCTGCCTCTCCACCCTCCCCACCCACTGACTCCCCCCCCCCACTCACCCCCCCCACTCGCCCCCCCCAATCCATCCCTTCTGTGCGGCTCCGCAGGCTCTCTGCGTGTTTGCCGACCGCGGGGAAGAAGGCGCCGGAGACGAGGTGGGGAGGGGGGCACGGTGAGAGTGGCGACGATGGCCTCCATCCCCGTGGGCAGCCTCGTGGCCAAGAATGACTACTACAGGAGTGCGTGGCCTGCCCTGCCCTCACCTGCCCTGCCCTCACCTGCCCTGCCCTGCCCTGCCCTCACCTTACGTGCCCTCACTTGCCTTGCCATCACCTGTCCTACTCTTACCTCCCTTCACCTGCCCTCACCTGCCCTGCCCTCACCTGCCCTGCCCTCACCTGCCTTGCCCTGTACTCACCTGCCCTCTCCTCACCTTACGTGCCCTCACTTGCCCTGCCCTCACCTGCCCTGCCCTCACCTTCCCTCACCTGCCCTGCCCTCACCTGCCTTGCCCTGTACTCACCTTCCCTGTCCTCACCTCCCCTCATCAGCCCTTCCCCTGCCCTCTTCTCCACTCAACTGCTCTGCCCTGCCCTTACCTTCCCTACACTGCCCTTGACCTGGTGTGGGGTGTAAACATCATCACTGGGGAGACAAAGGTGGCCGGGCGGCGTGGTGTTGTGACCACCCGCCTGCCTTCAGAGGAACTATTGACAGCACTTGCCCCAACCGCCTGTTAAAGGCTACCCGGCAGATCTTTGTCTGTACGTACGTGTGCGTGTGGGGAGCGGTAGGGTAGTGGTTAGCGCGCTGCGCTACGAACCCAGCGTCCCGTGTTCGATTCTTGGCGCTGTCCAACACCAATGTTGATTATCTGGACCGATCCTGGGCCTCCCCTGGGTCGACTCGGCCTCAAATGAGTACCCGATGTGTGAATATCGCCACTGGGGAGACAAAGGTGGCTGGGCGTGGTGTCGCCCCCACCCCCTCGTTTGCCGTGCCGGCCTTCATAGGTGCTGCTCGCTAACAGCACTTGCCCCAACAGTCTTGTTAAGGCTACACGGGGGACTTTTGTCTGTGTGCAGAGCGTCTGGGTTCCGCTTCCAGCGTGTCGTCTTGTGGCTCCACCAGCAGCAACGAACACCTGGAGGGCCCTCACCACCCTCACCACCCTCACCCCGGTGAGTACACTCACCACACACACACACGCTCACCACACACACGCTCACCACACACACACTCACCACACACACACGCTCACCACACACACGCGCTCACCACACACACGCTCACCACACACACGCTCACCACACACACACGCTCACCACACACACGCTCACCACACACACGCTTACCACACACACGCTCACTACACACACGCTCACCACACACACATACACTCACCACACACACACGCTCACCACACACACACTCACCACACACACACGCTCACCACACACGCGATCACCACACACGCGCTCACCACACACACGCTCACCACACACACGCTTACCACATACATAAACGCACTGACTACACACACGCTTACCACACACACACGCACTGACTACACGCACGCTCACCACACACACATACACTCACCACACACGTGCTCACCACACACGTGCTCACCACACACACACGCTCACTACACACACGCTCACCACACACGCTCGCCACACACACGCTCACCACACACACGTGCTCACCACACACACGCTTACTACACACACGCTTACCACACACACACACACGCTCACCACACACACATACACTCACCACACACACACACGCTCACCACACACACATACACTCACCACACACACACGCTCACCACACACACTTACCACACACACACACACACGCACTGACTACACACACACTCACCACACACACATACACTCACCACACACGTGCTCACCACACACACACATGCGCTCACCACACACCCACACGCGCTCACTACACGCACATCACACACACACGCTCACCACACACACTCACCACACACACGCTCACCACACACGTTAATCATCCTGATCCAAATGTGTGTACACGTGCGTGTTATCTTTTCATCAGCTGCGAAATGCTGTGTGGAAGCTTCCTTGTCTGTCGCTCCGCACGAAGCCACAGTCATGCCCTCCCTTCTCTATGCTTGTGAAACGTGGACCTCTAATGGAACATCTGTGCTGGTTAGAAACATTGAGGCTGGCCTCCCTGCGAACCATTGTGGGTTTAACCAGGCTGGCTTGTGTGAGTAGCTCACAATTCCTTGAAAGATCTGGACACATTCTCATCAGTGAGCTCCTCCGGCAGGTTGCATTAGCCTGGGTCATGTAGCCCACAAGCTCGGCTACTGCATGCCCAAGCAGCTTTTGTTTGGCCACATCGAGTGGGCTCAACGGGTACGACATGGGCTGGATAAGAGATGGACCTGATGCGGTCCAAGAGGATGTGGAGCTCGGTGGCCTTGCCATGCCAGCGGCGTGAAGATCGGCCTCTGTGGATGAGGCTCGTGAAGGACGCTGCTGCTGCTGGGCAGTTGGAGGCAGTCGCCTCTCCTGCAACAACGGAGGGCAGAGGAACGATGCTCACAACAACCAGTGAAGCGCCGGGCGGATAAAACGAAGCGAGTTGATACAGTGGAGGACCACGGGTGGTGCGCCTGCCAGACATCTCAGTCGGTCAACCCATGGCACCTGGGTCTGGTCCGTGACCTCCTGTCAGCGAGCCTTGTACACTTCACGTGGCCTCCAAGTGCACCTGGCCTGGCACAGGCACCGTGGTGACGTCACCGTCACTCAGTGGCGAATGGCGGCTGTTGGTATTGGTGTGGCACAGTGGTTAGCGCTCTGCGCTACGAACTCGGCGAGCCGAGTTCGATTCCAATAACATTGACAGCGAATATGTGAACTGGTCCTGGGCCTCCCCGAGGTCAGCTGACCCTTAAATGAGTACCTAGTGCAGTTTGTTATAAACATCAGCACAGGGCGTGGTGCTGGCCACCCACCCCCTCGTGTACAGGGCCGGCCCCTACACTCTGTTAAATACACACTATGGGGTGTCTTTATGTGTACACTTGGGTATACATACGTGTATGTATGTACTGTATGCATGTACTGTATGTATGTATACACGCGTATGTGGCACAAGCGTCATGGTGACGTCACCGCCACTTAGTGGCGAATGTCGGTTGTTGTTGTGTTCACGCGTGTGTATACACGCGTGTGCGTGTGTGTATACACGCGTATGTGTTCACGCATGTGTATCCACGTGTGTGCGTGTGTATGCGCAGCCCTGCCCAGCCATTCCCCCGGTAACTGGTGGCTTGGCTTCTTCTTCAACAAGAACCCCCCCCTCACCCCCCCCACCTCCACCCCCCCGGGCCACCACGGGACCCCCTTGGAATCGTCGGAGTTAGTCCCGACCTCGCAGCAGCCCCCGATTCTACCGGGGCTCACGGAGCACTGGGGTGCCGCCCCCCCTGAAGAGGAGGCGGGGGCGGCGGGGGCAGCGGGGGCGGCGGGGGCGGCGGGGGCAGCGGGGGCAGCGGGGGCAGCGGGGGCAGCGGGGGCGGCGGGGGCGGCGGAAGCAATGGGGGGGACAGGGGGTGCGGCTCCCCCCGGACTGCTGGCGGGGTTCACGGCGCGCATCACCGCTCACGTGGTCCCCCGCCGTGGATCTGCAGCCACGGACGCCCTGCATGGGTACGCACACCACATGCACACGCACACACACGTGCACACGTGCACACACACACGTGCGCACACACACACTCACACGCACACTCACCCGCACACTCACCCGCACACTCACCCGCACACTCACCCGCACACTCACCCGCACGCCCTGCGTTGGTATGCACCGGGTACACACGTGTTTACCGCGAGCAGGTGAGCGAGTGGGCGAGTCTCACCATGAGTGAGCGAGTGAGTGGGCGAGTCTCACCGTGAGTGAGTGAGCAAGTGGGCGAGTCTCACCATGAGTGAGCGAGTGAGTGGGCGAGTCTCACCGTGAGTGAGCGAGTGAGTGGGCGAGCCTCACCGTGAGTGAGCGAGTGAGTGGGTGAGTCTCACCGTGAGTGAGCCGGTGAGGCTCACCGTGAGTGAGCGAGTGGGTGAGTCTCACTGTGAGTGAGCGAGCAAGTGAGTGGCGAGTCTCACCGTGAGGGAGCGGGCGGGCGGGCGAGTCTCACCGTGAGCGAGCGAGCGAGCGGGCGAGTCTCACCGTGAAGGAGCAAGCGAGCGGGCGAGTCTCACCGTGAGGGAGCGAGCGAGCGGGCGAGTCTCACCATGAGGGAGCGAGCGAACGGGCGAGTCTCACCGTGAGGGAGCGAGCGAGCGGGCGAGTCTCACCGTGAGGGAGCGAGCGAGCGGGCGAGTCTCACCGTGAGGGAGCGAGCGAGCGGGCGAGTCTCACCGTGAGGGAGCGAGCGAGCGGGCGAGTCTCACCGTGAGGGAGCGAGCGAGCGGGCGAGTCTCACCGTGAGGGAGCGAGCGAGCGGGCGAGTCTCACCGTGAGGGAGCGAGCGAGCGGGCGAGTCTCACCGTGAGGGAGCGAGCGAGCGGGCGAGTCTCACCGTGAGCGAGGGGGTGAGTGGGCGAGTCTCACCGTGAGTGAGCGGGTGAGTGGGCGAGTCTCACCGTGAGTGAGCGGGTGAGTGGGCGAGTCTCACCGTGAGTGAGCGGGTGAGTGGGCGAGTCTCACCGTGAGTGAGCGGGTGAGTGGGCGAGTCTCGCCGTGAGTGAGTGGGTGAGTCTCACCGTGACTGAGTGGGCGAGTCTCACCGTGAGTGAGTGGGTGAATGGGTGAGTCTCACCGTGAGTGAGTGGGTGAGTCTGACCATTTCGGGGGCCTCTGCTTTGTCGTTGCAGCGCCGCTGACCTCGAGTTGACCTCTGCCACGGCCATGATGGCCGCCCTGGCACCAGCGGGCAACCTCACCCAATCCGACGGCACCCACCCTGGGCCCTGACCCATGAATCGCTCTACCCATCTCCTGGGCCCTGGACCCTGAATCACACCTCTCCCCTCATCTCCCTGACCCCGGGCCCTGACCCATGAATCGCTCTACCCATCTCCTGAACCCTGGACCCTGAATCACTCTACCCATCTCCTGGGCCCTAACCCATGAATCACTCTTCACATCTCCTGGGCCCTGGACCCTGAATCACACCTCTCTCATCTCCCTGACCCTGTGCACTGACCCATGAATCTATTTTAAAAATATTTGTATTTTATCAAGTAAGGCCCACTGGGCTTTACAGCGTTTTTTTAGAAGCGACAAATTGAAGCTTAATGAAGTGACTTATCGTGTGAACATTTATAGCAGACAAATAGTCTAAACGCATGATTCTAAATGTGGAGGCGATCACGGGGAGAGAGAGAGAGAGAGATACACTGCAAACTCCAAATATACAGCAGCAGGTGTCAGGGTCGGGATTTAACCCATGTCCTCTTGTATACCAGGCGAGGTAGTTAACATCACCTAGCCGCCGTGGGGCCCACGTGGTTGGCATTTGCCATCGATTTGTGCGCCATCGTCGGACAGGGCGAGGGTTGGGGTTGTAGTTCAGGGAGCCAACCTAGCGTCGAGTTGTTGGGTTAGGTTCAGGGTTAGGATTGGGGCAGAGTTATGGTCAGGGTTCGGGGCAGAGGTAACGATCAAAAGTTTAGGGGTTAGGATTGTGGGGGGTGAGGGGTTGGGTTTGGGGGGTGACCAGCGTTAGGATGGTGGCAGGACCCATATGTTTATGATTCTGTGCGTAGGTTATAATCTTTAGGGGGCGATTCCGCACACCAATGTACAATCGCAATGATTCCATCATCAGCTGTCGCTCACGCGTTTCCTCTCGGATGGCGGACAGACTCGGACTGATGGTCTGTCTGACTACTGTGGTGATGTCTGAGGTATGTCGGTGTCTGTTGAGCTGTGTGTCCAACTGTGAGTCCAAACGCGGTAATGGGTCTGTCGATACGTGGTTTTGTCTGTGGGTCTGTCTAACTGCGGGTCCGTCTAATTGTGGGACTGTCTTACTGTGGGTCTATCTTCACTGTGCGTCTGTGTAACTCTGGGTCTGTCTAACTGTGGGTCCGTCTAGTTGTGGGACTGTCTTACTGTGGGTCTATCTTCACTGTGTGTCTGTGTAACTCTGGGTCTGGATAACTGCGGGTGCGTCTAATTGTGGGACTGTCTTACTGTGGGTCTATCTTCACTGTGTGTCTGTGTAACTCTGGGTCTGGATAACTGCGGGTCCGTCTAATTGTGGGACTGTCTTACTGTGGGTCTATCTTCACTGTGTGTCTGTGTAACTCTGGGTCTGGATAACTGTGGGTCCGTCTAATTGTGGGACTGTCTTACTGTGGGTCTATCTTCACTGTGTGTCTGTGTAACTCAGGGTCTGGATAACTGTGGGTCCGTCTAATTGTGGGACTGTCTTACTGTGGGTCTATCTTCACTGTGTGTCTGTGTAACTCTGGGTCTGGATAACTGTGGGTCCGTCTAATTGTGGGACTGTCTTACTGTGGGTCTATCTTCACTGTGTGTCTGTGTAACTCTGGGTCTGGATAACTGTGGGTCCGTCTAATTGTGGGACTGTCTTACTGTGGGTCTATCTTCACTGTGTGTCTGTGTAACTCTGGGTCTGGATAACTGTGGGTCCGTCTAATTGTGGGACTGTCTTACTGTGGGTCTATCTTCACTGTGTGTCTGTGTAATTCTGGCTCTGGATAACTGTGAGTCTTAACTGTGTGGCGTGTCTGTACATAGTTTGTCAGACTGCCGGGAATAGGTGTGGTCTGTGTGGATATTCGCCTGTATCGATGTGTGGGGAGCGGCCGTGTAGCGCTATGAACCCGGCAACCCGAGTTCAAAGCCCGCTCACGGCTAACATCGGCAACGATTGTTTGATCTGGTCCTGGGCCTCCCCCTAGGTCGACTCAGCCTCAAATGAGTACCTGGTGCGGTGTGTAAACATCACCACTGGGGAGACAAAGGCGGCCGGGCGTGGTGCTGGCCACCCACCTCCTCGTGTGCCGTGCCGGCTGTCATAGGTGCACTTGATTGACTGTTGACCTGTCTGGTTGTAGTCTGGGTCTGTCCGACTAAATTTTGCATTCTGCCATTTTCTGCTGAAATAAAGTTTACAGTCGCTGCCCTGCCTCTGTGCATTGTGCAGGTGTGTGGCGCAGGTGTGTGGCGACACACCTGCGCCACACACCTGCGCCACACACCTGCGCCACACACCTGCGCCACACACCTGCGCCACACACCTGCGCCACACACCTGCGCCACACACCTGCGCCACACACCTGCACAATGCGCGCGTTAACGACACCCATCTCTGCTCACCACACCATTTGAGAGCTATGTCACCTGAGGACGGCACCTGAGCACACACCACCTGCACGCCAACTAAATAAAGCCAGCACCTCGGGGTTGCACCTGGGGGGGGGGGGCGGCGTACATAAATGACGTCACGCATCTAGGGGGAGGGGGGGTTTGAGAAATGTGACGTCACATCAAAATGCGCAACTTTAAATAAATATAGACAACACGTTCTACTTAATTAAATAGACTTTTCAATAAAATGTTTTCTACAACATCAGAGTGCAGCGCCACATTAAATACGCACTACAATGACAATAGCTTAAAACGATTTGAAGCATGTTTTATATATTTTTTTGGGGGGGGGGCAGAGCTTTGTGACGTCATAGTTGAGGGGGGGGGTCTGACTTTTCGTGACGCCGTGTGACTAGGGGGGGGGGGGGGTCAAAAATCGTCCAAAATCGCGTGACGTCATTTATGGACGGCCCCTAGTACAAAAAGGGTGACGAGATGTTAACCATCTTGCCTGATATGCAGGAGTTTGTGGATTCGATCCCGACCCTGACACTTGCTGCTGTATATTTGGGAGTTTGAGGTGTGTGTGTCTCTCTCTCTCTGTCACTGTGGGCCCGTGGATTTTTCTCCGGGTCCTCCGGTTTTCCCCTCCGCATTCGGAATCAGCATTTGTCCACGTTGATGATAAGCCCACTTCGTTAAGCTATCGTTTGTGACCGCCAGGTGACTTCTGAAAAGAGAGCCGGGCAGCTCGGTGGGCCCTGACCTGGTACAATAAAAAAATATATATACTTTAGTTTTTATGTAAAAAAAGAAACACACGGGCAAGCATCATGGACGAATGTCTCGCGTTACGCGCAGAGTGTGCAGAGCTGCGTAGTGAATGGGTTGTCCCAGGTTGTCTCGGGTTGTCCCGTTCTCACTGCGCAACTGATGATAATAAACAATCCGAGTTGCGGGTGGGGGGGGTGTGAATGTCCCGGGGAGACCGACAGATCTAACGGGACAGCAACTGCCTCAACAACACGAGGACGGTCCTGGGGGAAACCGGGACAGGTGGCAACCCTACTCACCCACCCACTGGGGGAAACCGGGACAGGTGGCAACCCTACTCACCCACCCACTGGGGGAAACCGGGACAGGTGGCAACCCTACTCACCCACCCACTGGGGGAAACCGGGACAGGTGGCAACCCTACTAACCCACTCACTGGGGGAAACCGGGACAGGTGGCAACCCTACTAACCCACCCACTTGGGAAACCGGGACAGGTGGCAACCCTACTAACCCACTCACTGGGGAAAACCGGGACAGGTGGCAACCCTACTAACACCCACTGGGGAAAACCGGGACAGGTGGCAACCCTACTAACCCACTCACTGGGGGAAACCGGGACAGGTGACAATCCTACTAACCTACCCACTGGGGAAACCGGGACAGGTGGCAACCCTACTAACCCACTCACTGGGGAAAACCGGGACAGGTGGCAACCCTACTAACACACCCACTGGGGAAAACCGGGACAGGTGGCAACCCTACTAACCCACTCACTGGGGGAAACAGGTGACAACCCTATTAACCTACCCACTGGGGAAACCGGGACAGGTGGCAACCATACTAAGCCACTCACTGGGGAAAACCGGGACAGGTGGCAACCCTACTAACACACCCACTGGGGGAAACCGGGACAGGTGGCAACCCTACTAACACACCCACTGGGGAAAACCGGGACAGGTGGCAACCCTACTAACCCACTCACTGGGGGAAACAGGTGACAACCCTATTAACCTACCCACTGGGGAAACCGGGACAGGTGGCAACCATACTAAGCCACTCACTGGGGAAAACCGGGACAGGTGGCAACCCTACTAACACACCCACTGGGGGAAACCGGGACAGGTGGCAACCCTACTCACCCACTCACTGGGCAAAACCGGGACAGGTGGCAACCCTACTAACCTACCCAGTGGGGGAACCGGGACAGGTGGCAACCCTACTAACCTACCCATTGGGGGAAACCGGGACAGGTGACAACCCTACTAACCCACCTACTGGGGAAACCGGGACAGGTGGCAACCCTACTCACCCACCCACTGGGGAAAACATTGCCACTGTCTCCCCAGTGGCGATGTTTACACAGCTACAAAATACTCGCTCCAGGCTGAGCCGACCTAGGAGACGCCCATGACTGGTTCAGATATTCGCTGTCATCGGTCGCGGTCGGCAATCGCCATTGGTCACGAAGGGGCAGTGACGTCACTACAGTGCTTGTGCCAGGCTAGGTGCACCTGGAGGCAGGGCCTTATTAACATTGTGTAGGCCCCTGGCTCCAGGTATTGTGAGCCACCCCCCCCCTCCCCCCCCCGCGCAGTAATATTTTCAAAAATAAAAACAAAGTTAAAGGAAAATCAAATTTTATTTTTTACAAGGCTAACAAACAAAATTCAACCTTGATTTGAAGCTTGCGTGACCGCGGGAATCCATACTCTCTGGTTCGTTCGGTAAAGTCACGTGGGTAGAGAAAATAAAATACAATCACGACGTTTCGGGCGCAACACAAGCGTCCGTCACCAGGTGGGAAAGCGCCACGCGGGAGGGCGACGCTTGTGTTGAGCCGCCCGAAACGTCGCGTGATTAATTTTGGTTAGTTCATAGCCTACGTGACTTTACCAAAATCAAATTCGGCGTTCACAAATGGAATAACTTTTCACTTCATCTCTGGAGGCCCCTAAAGCCCCCCCCACCCCCACCGTGCCTTGATCGGGCCCTGCCTGGCACGTGTCGCGTGAAGTGTCGGAGGGGTCAGCCCCCCCCCCCCCCTTGCACGAGGTCACAGGGACAGGCCCAGCGGGTGCTTTGGGTTGGGCGAGGGGACTCAACAGATGCAACACCTGTGCCCAGCCACACGAGATCCCCTCCCGCTATAGCCTACCACAGACTTCGCTGGGGCAAGTGCACGGTACAGGCCCGGCCGCCTTTGTCTCACCGGTGCTGATCTTCACTTCACAACCCAACAGGTATTTATTTGAGGCCGAGTCGACCTAGAGGGGGGGGGGAGGGGGGGGTGGCCCAGGACCGGTGTAGATTATAATCGTCACTGGTGTTGGTTGATGGCGGCCGTGAGTAGGAATCGATTACCCCCACACACACACAAGACAAAGATCCCCCGTGTAGCCTCGACAAACTGTTGGGCCAAGTGCTGTTAGCGGAGCAGCGCCTATGAAGGCCGCCAGGGCGCACGAGGGAGGGGGGTGGCCACAACGCCACGCCCGGCCGCCTTTGTCTCCCCCCCCCCCCCAGCGGCGACGTTTACCACACACCGCACCGGGTATGCGTTTGAGGCTGAGTCGACCTAGAGGAGGCCTATGTGCGGTTTAGACAATCGTCACTGGTGTCGATGGTGGCCGCGAGCGGGAATCGAACTCGGGCTGGCCGGGCTTCACAAGTGGTGCCAATCACTGAGCCCACCGCTCCCCACGTTGCCGGACACACAAAACATCCCCCCCACCAGCACTACCCCCCACCAGCACCCCCCCACCAGCACCCCCCCACACCAGCACCACTACCCCCCCACCAGCACCACTACCCCTCCCGACCAGCACTACCCCCCCACCAGCACCACCACTACCCCCCCACCAGCACCACCACTACCCCCCCACCAGCACTACCCCCCCACCAGCACTACCCCCCCACCACCACTACCCCCCCACCACCACTACCCCCCCACCAGCACCCCCCCCCCCCACCAGCACTACCCCCACCAGCACCACCCCCCACCAGCACTCAGATGGACTCGCCCAATGAGACGCGCTGGGACCCGTGTGGCAGGTAACTCGTGTGGCAGGTAACTCGTGTGACAGGTAACCCGTGTGACAGGTAACCCGTGTGACAGGTAACTCGTGTGGCAGGTAACTCGTGTGACAGGTAACCCGTGTGACAGGTAACCCGTGTGACAGGTAACCCGTGTGACAGGTAACTCGTGTGGCAGGTAACTCGTGTGACAGGTAACCCGTGTGACAGGTAACTCGTGTGGCAGGTAACTCGTGTGACAGGTAACTCGTGTGACAGGTAACTCGTGTGGCAGGTAACTCGTGTGGCAGGTAACTCGTGTGACAGGTAACTCGTGTGGCAGGTAACTCGTGTGACAGGTAACTCGTGTGACAGGTAACTCGTGTGGCAGGTAACTCGTGTGGCAGGTAACTCGTGTGGCAGGTAACCCGTGTGGCAGGTAACCCGTGTGGCAGGTAACTCGTGTGACAGGTAACTCGTGTGACAGGTAACTCGTGTGACAGGTAACTCGTGTGACAGGTAACTCGTGTGGCAGGTAACTCGTGTGACAGGTAACTCGTGTGGCAGGTAACTCGTGTGACAGGTAACTCGTGTGACAGGTAACTCGTGTGGCAGGTAACTCGTGTGACAGGTAACTCGTGTGACAGGTAACTCGTGTGGCAGGTAACTCGTGTGGCAGGTAACTCGTGTGGCAGGTAACCCGTGTGGCAGGTAACCCGTGTGGCAGGTAACTCGTGTGACAGGTAACTCGTGTGACAGGTAACTCGTGTGGCAGGTAACTCGTGTGGCAGGTAACCCGTGTGGCAGGTAACTCGTGTGACAGGTAACTCGTGTGGCAGGTAACTCGTGTGACAGGTAACTCGTGTGGCAGGTAACTCGTGTGGCAGGTAACTCGTGTGGCAGGTAACCCGTGTGGCAGGTAACCCGTGTGGCAGGTAACTCGTGTGGCAGGTAACTCGTGTGGCAGGTAACTCGTGTGGCAGGTAACCCGTGTGACAGGTAACCCGTGTGGCAGGTAACTCGTG